TAGGATCTAGATCTATGCATTACAGTTACAGTAAAGTCCTGCAGGGCTGAATTCTGGACAAGCAGGGTTTAAAGGTCATGGAAAAACTGAAACCCTGGAATAAAGCATCAACATGCTTGTGCTTAGTGCAAAGGAAAATCACAATAAAATCGCAATATTGGTTGAAAATAATTGCAATTTTTCATTCAGCCCTTCTCAGGAACGGTCTGTACCTTCTCCCAGTCGAGTTTCTCGATGTCCACCAGGATCCTCATCAGCTCAGGAATAGCGAGAGCAGGATGAGTGTCGTTCAGCTGGATGGCCACCTACAGACGGAGGAGAAAAACTCATTAGAGACCAAATTTAAAAAGCTGAAGCCTAACAGACCTGGCAGCATTTTGAAGCCAATTATAGTGTTAATAGTATATAGGTAAAGATTACCATATTTTCTGGACTATAGAGTGAACCTCAGTATAAGCCGCTGATATCTACTGAACTAAACCAGTAGGGGGAGCTCTACATGTAGCCCCTGGAGTAGGGAAGAAGCAGAGTGCTAGTTCCTGTTAGCTTGTTAGCTCGCAGCAGTAAGAGCTTCTACTGAAAGATGGAGCTTCATCAGCTCTTTATTTCAGCTCATTGGTTCTGCAGCTTTAATGCAGCAAATAAATGTCAAAATTAGTGAATTTGTGACATTTGTTCTCCTCCACACCTGCTGCTAGCATGTTTTTGCGCTAAATGAAAATTAGCCCCTTATTCTTTCATTTCCAACTTTGACTTTCCCCTCCTGGCAGGTAGGAAAAATCCACAGAAAAGCTGCACCTTCTGATAAGTTCTAATAAGAAAATGAAAAAGAGAGATCATATCTCTCCTATCCTGGCTTCTCTTCATTGGCTTCCTGTTAAATCTAGAATAGAATTTAAAATCCTCCTTCTCACATATAAAGCCTTAAATGGCCAAGCTCCATCTGATATCAGAGATCTGATTGTTCCCTATGTTATCAGGTTCCTCCCCTGTGCGCTCAACT